AGAAGTTGGCTGCTGAGACCACATAGTGGGAAAGCCATGGGTAGGCGCTCTAGTTGACAGTCTCACCTGAGCCCAGCCGTCCTTGCTAAGATGCCAAATATGTGAGTCAAGCTGACTGGGACCTTTCAGACCAGCCCATATGCAAGCTGAATACCACCGAGTGACCTCAGTTAGTGCCACATGGAGCAATGGAACATTCTAGCTGAGCCTTGCCCAAGTCTTGACCCATGAAATCATAAGATAAAATAAAATGGTTATTGTTTTATGCAGTTAAGTTTTGGGGCAATTTGTTACAGAGCAGCAGATAGCTGGGACATGTGGAAATAATACCTGGCCTGCTGAGTCATCACAATTACTAAGACTCATCTCTTCTGCACCGGAATGGGTGCAGTGGAGAAGTGGGTGCGCTGGCTCAGGCAATATCTCTAACATTTGAGATACATGGGGCAATGGTAAGTATAAAGAATGCAGAGTTGGTTGTTAGGTGGCATCAATGTGCTGGAGGAAGAAAATAACAGGTTCGAGACAGCCATTTATCAACTCAGCCCAGGGTGAAATCCAGGAGGGGTTTCCAGAGCAGGGTTAAGATCCTCCTGCAGCCAGAGGGCAGCCTGTGCTGGTGGAGGCCCAGGACCTGACTGAGAATGGTGGAGTTCTAAAGCAGGCCAAATAGACAGCCTGCCAAGTCCTGTGCTCAAGTCAAGGGCACAGAAGGGAAGGAGTGGGACACTACCACCTGGGATGGGGACATCTCAGTAGATGGGCTCAAGGTTCTTGAACCCTAGATTCCTGTGAACCCTGTCAGTCTGCAGAAGTCACCCATTCTCCCTTGCTGGAGGATAGCAGCCTCGTCTTACCTGGAGACCTTGCAAAGACCCTCCAAAGGCAGATGCATTGAACTTTCCGTCCTCAAGATCTGACCCCAGTTTCCCTATTTGCTTCTAGACTGGTAAATAGATCAAGTCTCCCAGGCCCAACTGAGGAAGTCATGTCCCTGCTATGGGAGGAAAGAGATTGTACACCAAAATTGCTGCAGAGGCTGGTCAATGTGTACCAGCAGGATCCCCAAGAATGGATCCTGGAGGGTGCTGACATGGAGGTTGTAGAATATTAGATTAGGTAAGGAGAGTTTATACACATGGAGCCACTCCTGCAATTTGGGAGTGATGTTTTGGCAAGGATGAGTCCTGGTATGCCACTGAGATGGCTCCTTGAAGCAGGAAAGAAATGGTGGCCCCCAGTAAATGAGAGGGAGGTAACAGGATGATCTTGGCAGGGTATTGAGAAGGGGCCAAAAGGCTCAGAGAGGTGGACGTGCCAACATAGATTGATTATGTAAGACCAGAGAAGCCAGCTGGCTGTGCTCCAGAAGGGCCCACCGGAGGCTGCCTTCGCTCAAGCAGTAATGAATGCACAAGTCGGGCACCAGCATCCCTGGGAGCTCAGCATGGCTGTCCTCTAGGTCAGGGTTGAATGGGGCAGATACTGCCTTGGAGCTGAGTTCCAGGGGTCAGCAGGGATGACAGGTGCAGTAGATTGACTTACGTCCCTCCCCCCAAACTCACTGAAGCTTGCATTATATCCCCCACACTAGAAACTTGGCCCCCTCTGTGACTGTTAAGAGGGTGGGAAATCCTATTATGGTAATCAAAAGGTGGAACCTCGAATAGGTGATTGGATTGTAGGACCAGGCAATACTGAGTGGATTAGAAATGGTGGTCAGGGGCATGGTTCTGAGGGCTTTAAAAGAACAGAGAGGAGAGTCTGTCTGGCTTCACATTCCACCATCTTGCAATGTGAGACCCCTGGGTCACTGTCGCCACCACCAGATGGACTTTGGACTTCCCAGCCTTAGAAACTGTAAGCAGTAAATTTTGTTTTCTTATAAATTACCCAGTTCCACGTATTTTGTTATAAGCAACACAAAATGGACTAATACAACAGGATTCCAGAAAGCAGAGGTTCAGTTGATGTATTTGTCAGAACAGGAGCAAGGGCAGAGTGACAGCCAGGAGGCTTGGGGCCTCTGGGTTCTGTGCTGATGGCTAGTAGACCATGATATTCCCAGAGACCATGGCTACCATGACATCACCTGACTGCTGTAATCAAAGAAAGTTTGAAAGCAAGTGACAGGATGCTGATGTCAGCTGTTAATGGAAGAATCTCAATCCCTCAGCCAGTTTCAAGGCCTAAGCCAGTCCTCAGACCCAGAGGTCACTGACTGAAAGAGGGGCTGAGTTCCCTTGAGAAGAATCCCATAGGGCCGGCCCCGTGGCGCACTCAGGAGAGTGCGGTGCTGGGAGCGCAGTGACTCTCCCGCCGCGGGTTTGGATCCTATATAGGAATGGCCGGTGCTCTCACTGGCTGAGCGTGGCGCGGGCGACACCACACCAAGGATTGCAATCCCCTTACCGGTCATGAAAAAGACAAAAAAAAAAAAAAGAATCCCATAATGCCACAGAAAGTATTTGCAGGGCCGAGCCCATGGCGCACTCGGGAGGGTGCAGCGCTGGGAGCGTGGCAGCGCTTCCGCCATGGGTTCGGATCCTATATAGGGATGACTGGTGCGCTCACAGCGCTCACTGGCTGAGCGCGGTGCGGCCGATCTCAAAAAGGACAAAAAATATATATATATTTGCAGTAGTAATTCCCCAATCCTTCCCCAAAGGGACCAACAGCCATTTCTAATAAGCAACTGTACACTGGGAAACTGTTCCCCAGAGATTTCAAGGGCTTTTGGGTACATGGTCTGAGTGGACCTCTAGAGGCCAGATCAGTGGAGTCTTTGGACTTCCTCTCCTCTCTACACTCACTCTCTCAGTGATCACACTCTCTCTCATAGCTTGCAATAGAATCTATATACATTGCCAGCTCCCAGGTGAATTTCCCCAGGCCAGACCTCTCCTCTGATCTTCAATCTCATCTCTATCTGCCCATCTGATGTCTCTCCTGAGATGTCTAATAGACATCTCAATGGTGGGTGGCCTACAGTGAACTCCTGATCTCCTGGCTCTTCCCCATCCCAAGTGGGCTTCTGCAGCCTTCTCATCTCAGCAAATGGTAACACCATCCTTTAGCTGCTCAGACCAAAAACCTAGCAATCATCCTGGATTTCTCTCTTTCTCTCACATTACATATCCAATCTGTCAGCAAAAACCTATTAGAATTCTTCAAAAGAGACCCAGAATCCCACCACCTCTCACCATCACCACTTCCTTGGCCACCAAGCTATCATCTTTCCTCTGGATTACTGCAATTGTGTCCTAAACCATCTCCTGTCTGCTGCCCTGCCCTCCCACAGTCTAACTGCAACACAGCAGCCAAATGACCCCGTTGGCACACCACTCCTCTCTACTCAAATTCCCACAGCGGCCTCCTCCACACCCAGAATAATGTCAGGGTGCTTCCAGGCAGCTGCCGATCTTACAGGATCTGCCACGTCCCTACCCCCTCGCTGGTGCTTCCTCTGGTTCACTGTGGTCCAGCCGCACAGGTTTCCTGGCTGGCAGGCGCCAGCCTTGGGAGCCATTTCCATTCCCTCTTCTCCCCCAAACACCTGAATGTTTTGCTCCCTCGTTTCCTTCAAGTGTTTGTTCAAAATGTCTCTTCAGCAAGGCCTTGACTTTATTTAAAATTGCCATATTGGGGCCGGCCCGTGGCTCACTCGGGAGAGTGCGGTGCTGACAACACCAAGGCCACGGGTTCGGATCCTATATAGGGATGGCCGGTTTGCTCACTGGGTGAGCGTGGTGCTGACAACACCAAGTCAAGGGTTAAGATCCCCTTACCGGTCATCTTTAAAAAAAAAAAAAAAAATTGCCATATTGGTGGCAGGAGGAGCCTTATGGGAACTGGAGTTGCCGATTGAGCCTGATCAAGATGACAACCTCCCCAAAGCACTGAGGCTTGTTCGCAGAGCCCATGGGGGAAAAGTCAGTGGGAAGCCTGGCTGGGATTGGTGAAATCCTGGGCAAGAAACTGGAGGAAAGAGGCTTTGACAAGGCCTGTGTGGTCCTTGGCCAGTTTCTGGTGCTAAAGAAAGATGAAGACCTCTTCTGAGAATGGCTGAAGGACACGTGTGGCGCTCATGCCAAGCAGTCCCGGGACTGCTCTGGGTGCCTCCGAGAGTGGTGCGATGCCTTCTTGTGATGCTGTCTGGGGTGCCGTCAATCCCCAGCCCCAGCACTGAGTCTTCTGAGTTTGCAGTTGAGTGGGGACTCCTCCCCTGTCCTCTACAAAAGAACTGATTGCTGCTGTTGTGCTCACCTCCTACGTACTGCAGGGTCTTTGGGGAGTTCTCTCCCACTGCCATTTCAACTTTTTTTGAATTCTTGCTCTTGCATGCATTTCCCTTCCTTCTCCTTACCCTAGTTCTTGGTGACAATTACCAGCTTTCCTGAGTGGATTCCTGGCCCTTCCTTCACCGCTATCCTCACCTCTGGTCTGTTTGGTGCCATTTGGCTCCCTTTCATCCTCACCTCTGGTCTGTTTGGTGCCATTTGGCTCCCTTTCGGCAGAACAGTCGCTGTCCTTGTAAAGTTTTTTAGATTAATAAAGTCAGTGGCCTTCAAAAAAAAAAAAGTTGCCATTTCTTCCCTCCCCCCCTCCCCAGCCCCCTTCATTTTTCTCCTTAGCACTTTCCACTAACGCATATACATTATGTTTTCCTTCTTTATGTGTTTATTGTTTCTTTCCCTAGTTAGAATATAGAGGGGAAGGCTGGACATCGCTCCGCCTCTGCAGTCCCAGCGCTCAGGACAGCGCCTGCAGCCTCGCTGCTGCCAGAGAGAGGGAGGAAGGGAGGGAGGGAGGACAAGTGGAGTTCGCAGCGGTGAGCGGCCGGGTCGACCCCAATCACTCCGCATCCACGCGCTGACTTTACTCTGAGCAAAGGGCGGCGGGCCTGGGACGAGAGGGCGGGGCCCTCGCGCGGCGCCGACGTCATGGAAACGCGCTCGCTCTCGGCGCCGAACTACAACTCCCAGCGGCCCCGCGCTTCCGGTCGGCAAGATGGGGGCTCGCAGGAGGAAGCGTGCGGCGCGGGACCCTGAGGAGGGCATCCCGAGCCCGCCCGGCTACTCAGGTGAGGGGCTTCGGGACGCTGTGTCCGGGGATGGCCGGGAAGTGGCTCGGAGGTTGGCGGTGCCCGGAGACCTCCAGGAGCAGCCGCGCGGTTGGGGTGAGCCCCGGCGGTCCCTGGCCCCGGCCCAGGCAGGTCGTGAGGCCCCGGACCCAAAGACCCGCGCGGTGTCCTCCTCGTCTGTCTGCACTCGGGGCGAGCCCATCCTCTTGTCGTCACTTGTTCGCAGTTCTTAGTTCAGCCCCCGTCAGCTCTCGCCTGGGGTGTTAGGTTCCCGCTTATTGGTTCCCCTCCCCCTGCATTCTGTTCTCCACCCGGGCTCCAGAATGTTCTTTGAGATCATGTCTCACGCCCACCGATACCCCCCCACACCCACTGAACCCCTCCAGTGGCTTTACAAGGTAGCACTTAAAACAACACCCAGACGGTTGGGAAGAAATGCAGAAGTGACTTTGTCATAAGCCTGCTGTCCTTGAAGTAATGTTCTGTCTTTGAAACAGTGTTTGCTTGTTGCCCTGGTCTGGCCTCTAATCACCGCTGGCATTTTTGGCTTCTGTAGCTTGCTTAGCTGCCTAGACCACGTGAATGCCGAGAGAGCAAAACCGAAAACTGGAGCAGTTTGCCTAGATGAGCCCTGTGGGACCTGGGCTCGGGCGTTAGTCTGTCTGGACTCGCCAGCGTAATAAACTCCGGCCTCTCCAGCCTCCCGAGTGTTCGACGCTTCCTTGCTCGGTCCGATTCACAGCAAGACTTCTTTCCTGCATGACCCGCGTGTTCTGGCCCCAACAGCTCTGTCTTTCCCTTCCCCTGACGCCAACACGCTCTTTGCACCCTCCGGGCTCTTGGGCTTGCTGTGCCCTCTTCCTCAGACAGCTGTGTCCCTGACTTGCACTGTGTCATTCTGGTCTGAGCGTTAATGTTGCTTCTTCAGAGAGGCTGTCCCTGATGGCCTGTTGAAAGAAGGCCTCTGCCACCCGGTCACCGTGAACTTCACCCTGTATGTTTCTTTCACGTTTCATATAAGCTTGTTAAATGCTTACTTGTTCGTCGTCTTCTCCCGTTACGTTGTGAGCTTCCTGAGTGTGGGCACTGCAACCGCATCCCCACTGTACTCTGAAAAAGGTGGTGAGAAACACAGAAAACAGTCCCTAGCTTTAGGAGGATTAAAATTTATGGAAATGCCAGTGATTAACAAAGAATCCCACCAAGGTAGACTGACAGACTGTTAGAGAAGCTATGAAGGCACAGAGCTGGGACCCAGTCTGAGGTGTTGGGGGTGATGATAAGGCTCTCTTAAGGAGGTGAAGTTGGAGCTAAAACCCGGAGAACAGGTGGAGAGAGGGGGGTTGATGTGCCAGGTGGAGAGAACAGGGTGTGTGAGGCCCTGGCTTGTTGGAAGAACAGAATCCAGAGCGGTGGGAAGAGGACGGTGGGAGAAGAGGCCGCAGTGGCGGACTGGGTCATGCACGGATTTGGGGTTTCTCCCAAGAGCAGCAGGGTTTGGGCTTCCTTCTCACCGTGCTCCCCACCTGTCATAATTGCCTCTTTACACTCTCTCGCCCCTCGGTTCACTCTCACAGCCTGCACTGGCTCTGCCTGGGGTGGAGTGCAGAGGGTGGGGAGCCAAGTGTCAGTGAAGGATGGATGGACAGATGGACAGACAGATGGGACTAGAAGGGACATGGAGAAAGGAAATTGTGTGAATGCCTAGTTGGCCTAAGTGCAGGGGAGCCTGAATGTGACTCCGAGACCGTCCCGTTTCCTTTCCAGCCATTCCGATCAAGTTCTCTGAAAAGCAGCAGGCTTCCCATTACCTCTATGTGAGAGAACACAGAGTTCGAGAAGGCACCAAGTCTACCTGGCCTCAGAAGCGTACCCTTTTTGTCCTCAATGTGCCCCCATATTGCACGGAGGTGAGCGTCCAGGAGAGAGGACCTGTGGGGTCAGGGATGGGGGTCCCATGGCCTCACCAAGTCCTTGGTGGTGGGTGACTGGGAGAGCTAATGGGAGCCCCGGGGGAGGGTGTCAAGAGGACTGCTTCTCTCTCTTGTGACAGGAAATTGGTTTTTTTTTTTCCTTTTTGTCTTTTTTCGTGACCGGTAACGGGATCACAACCCTCGGTGTCGCGCCCGCACCGCGCTCAACCAGTGAGCAGACCGGTCTCTATATGGGATCTGAACCCTCGGCGGGAGCGCCGCCGTGCTCCCAAGCGCCGCACTCTACCGAGTGTGCCACCAGGCCGGCCCCGGAAGTTGGGTTTTTAAAGATGTTTTTAAAAATACAATTTTAAGTATCCTAAAGCTTTTTTATTACCCAGAATTGTTTGAATTACATGTTGTTTTCTTCCTGATTATAGAAACAATATATGTCCATAGAAAAAAAAATAGCAAAAGTATAAGAAAAATTTAAAAATTACCTCTAATTCTACTGTCCAGACACATATCTTAACTTTTTTTTCACAGAAACTATTAAATTTAGTATTATGTAAATTTACAGAAGAGAGACTAAGGGAACTGCTGGATTTTTAGTTGCCTTTTTTTTTCCCAAAAAGAAATACTAATTTCTAAAAGATTCCTCTAAAGTTAAAAAGA